TCAACGATCACTGACACTCTGTCCCTAGATATCGAGCTGTATAAACACATTGGCAAAGCAGCTACCATGTTCTCTAGACTCACAAAGAGAGTATGGGTCAGTAAGAAGCTGATGGCATATATCATGATCCAGGTCTATACAGCCTGTGTCCTGAGCACACTCCTGCACTGCAGTGAGTCCTGGACCCTTTGGGCATGGCAGGAGAGGAAGCTGAACATGTTCCATATGCGTTGTCCCCAATGCATATTTGGTATCACCTGGCTGGACAAAGTTCCAAATACAGTAGTCCTAGATACAGCTGGAATTGTATACAGGGACGTGGTGGCGCTGTGGGCTAAACCGCAGAAGCCTCTGTGCTGCAGGGTCAGAAGACCAGCAGTCGTAAGATCGAATCCACATGACAGAGTCGCTTTGTTCCAGCTCCTTGGCAACCTAGCAGTTCGAAAGCATGTAAATGCAAGTAGATAAATATGTACCATCTCGGTGGGAAGGTAAAACGGCGTTCCGTAGTCACGCTGGCCACGTGACAACGGAAACTGTCTTCGGACAAGCGCTGGCTCTATGGCTTGAAAAGCGGGATGAGCGCCACCCCCTAGAGGCAGACACAACTGGACTAAAAATGTTAAGGGGAACCTTTACCTTTATCTTTACTATACATGAAACAGTGATATCTACATTGGCTCAGGCATGCCTCATGGCTGATGGTCGGATTCCAAAAGATCTCCTGTATGGAGAATTAGTGCAGGGAAATCATCCCAGAGGGAGACCACAGCTGTGATACCAGGACATCTACAAGTGGGATCTGAAGGCCTTAGGAAAGGATCTCAGCTTAAGATATTGAGGAGAGATTGGGTGTCATCCACATACTTGTGACACCAAACCCCCAAACTCTGAACAACCTCTCCCAGTGGTTTCATGTTGATGTTCGGTAACATAGGGGACAAAAAAGAACCCTGAGGGACCCCCACAGGCCAGTGCCCAGGGTGTCAAACAGGCGTCCCCTAAGCACTGCCTTCTGAGTTCTCTCCCCCGGAAAGGACTGGAGCCACCAGAAAAACAATCCCTCCAAATGCCATCCCAGAGAGACATTTTGGAAATTGGAACATAGCTTTCCAGTCTGCATTTGGCAGAGCAGGCATGGCCACATTCATTGACCGAAGAGCTTAAAGGGTGTGCATGTTTCTCCATTCTCCCTTTTATATCTATTCCCACCTTTGCTTCAGTATTTCATTATGTCCAAAACATGCTTTCAAATTAATGTAGCGCAGAGGGATTAGAGCCACGTCCCAGCTGTCCTGTCTTCTGCCAGTATCCACAAAACAGATCATGTGTTCACATCTTCTGGGATGTTCTAGCACTGGGTGAGGGACGTTTCTGTTGGAATTTGTGTGTGGTATCTGTAGAGTAAGGGACGTGGTGGCACTGCAGGTTAAACTGCAGACACCTCTGTGATGCAAGGTCAGAAGACCAGCTGTCATAAGTTCGAATCCCGACAGAGGAAGTTCCCGTCACCAGCTCCTGCCAACCTAGCCGTTCGAAAGCATGCAAAATGCAAGTAGATAAATAGGGACCACCTCGGTGGGAAGGTAATGGCATTCTGTGTCTAGTCACACTGGCCACGTGACCATGGAAATGGTGTACAGACAAACGCTGGCTCTAAGGCTTGGAGACGGGGATGAGCACCGCCTCCTGGAGTCAGACACAACTGGACTAAATTTCAAGGGAAACATTTACCCTTTTCTGTATAGTATGTGTGTAGTATGTTTTCTACGTTGGCTTGGGCATGTCATGAGAATGGCTGATGGTCGGATTCAAAAAGATCTCCTGGATGGAGAATGAGCACAGGGAAAGCACCCAAGAGGGAGACCACAGAGCTGCGATACAAGGAGATCTGCAAGAGGGATCTGAAGGCTTTAGGAATGGACCTCCACAGATGGGAAACCTTGACCTCTGAGCGTTCAGCCTGGAGGCAGGCGGTGTATCACGGCCTCTCCCAATTTGAAGAGACCCTTGTCCAGAAGGCTGAGGCCAAGAGGCCGTCCCAAAACCAGCCAAATCATGGAGCTGGACAGGGGACAGATTTTATTGGTCTTCAGTGTGGAGATGCTGTTCCAAGACCTCTGTTCAGATCACATTACCATGGTCTTTTGAGACTGAATGATGCCTACACAATGTATGTATTTAAACTTCCATTTTAAAAAGCCAGGACATTCAATTCTTCAAAAAGCCTCTGGTTGATGAATTTGGTCAATGTGCTTCTGTACCCATGATTCAAAACACCAGGGTATGGACTGATATTGCTGCAGAATATCGTGCCCACGTTGCCAGCATGAAAAAGGACGCCAAGCTTTACATAGCAAAGGGCAGCCTGAATGTTGACGACACGAAGGGCAACAATTGAGATGGTTTAGGGAGAAGAAAAAACTGGGACATGGAAGTCTGTCAGTTTATTTTTTTAACGATTAACTGCTTCAAAGGGGATTAGATACGTTTATGGAGGACAATGATATCACTGGGAAAGAGTAGGAAAGAGGGAGGGCAAGAGGAGAAGGGGACGACAGAGGACAAGATGGTTGGACACGGTCACCGAAGTGACCAACATGAATTTGACCCAACTCCGGGAGGCTGTGGAAGATAGGAGGGCTTGACGTGTTCTGGTCCATGGGGGCACGAAGAGCCAGACATGACTTAACGACTAAACAACAACAACATGATATCGCTGGCAACTTATTAGAAGGCCTGTATGTCACATCCAGTATCAATACACCTCTTTTAGTGAATTGCTGGGGAACAAGAGCCTGGAGGAGGTGAGACAGGGAAGCTTGAGCCCCATCTCTGATTGGGCACCTGCTGGAGAAGGCGGGGCCAGGAACAGCTGAACATCTATTCGTCCAAAGGGTGAACTGGGACGAACCGACGAACCAGTAGCTAGTGCCCATCTCTCTAACATTTGTCACTTATTGAGGTTTCATTGTGCTTCTTGTTACTTGAATCTCACCCTTAATTCAAAATGAAAAACTAATCAGAAGTATTGCAGGATGAGATACAAATGCCTATAGCTCTCCCCTAATATTCATGTTCACAAGTATGTTCTGCCTTCCCCTTTTGCACCAAGTTACAAGTATTGGTGACAATGAATTCACACAGTTGCTGGTGGACCCTAAATTCTGCCTCTGGTTGATTCTTGGTTCTGCCTTAGCACCTACTGGGTTTTACTAGTTTGTGATGAATTGCCACGAGGAACAGCACAAAGCTCATAAGAATGGGGATATGTGGTCAGTTCAACTCTAGCTTTTTGGTGATGTTTTGTCACTTCTCCTGGCAGCTGGAAACGGAATGCCCGTAGCAGAGTGGTGAAGAAGGCAAAAAATTCAGCTCTTGCCAAATGCTCTTCCAAACTCACAGAGTTACCTGTGGAAGAGAAAAAGGGAAGGTAGGAAAATGAGACATTGTTATGCAGTGGGTTCCTCAGAGCAATCATTCAGATCGTCAACCAGGTTCGAGTTAAGCGCAGAATTCGAGACGGTAGCTATCCACAAAAGCTGACCAAATATCCTTTTGTTCTTTGAAACAATTGCCCTACATGAATCTCAGTCTCATTCAACCCATCCAGAAAAACATGGCAATAAATCACAACCTTCTACTTACGCGCTCCAAACAAAATAAATTCTTTTCTAGCTACAAATTTAGCATCCGTGTCCAAAAAATGATTTGGGTTGAATTCTTCTGGTGTCTTCCATTGCTTTGGATCAAGAAGAATGGAATTCAGGTTTGGATTGATAAACGTACCCTGGAAGGAACAAACAGATGATTCAAGATGCATTTGGATCAGCATAGTTTGGCTTTATTCTTCACCGTCTCAATATTAAGATTTGTCTGTTTCTAGGCTTCATCTACCTGGAAGGCTCAGACTCTCTTTCGTTCATCAGCGTTGCACCTCTGATTTGATGAAAACCAAACAGATTTGGTTGCATTAATTTTTTAAGGAAAACTATATACAGTTACATTGCATGCTGTTTGCTTCAGATGACCCTTCTCTACATATGAAGGGCAACGAAACAGGCAAGGCTAAGATCCTCGCTCTCCTCAAAAGTTCAGGATAAATTTATCCAAATTTAACTCGTTAAGGCATATTTTTGTTTCAAATCCTCATTTCTGAATGTGACTGCTGATGCAAAAAGGGGAGAAAATTCTGTGTAAATGTATTTTAATAAGTAATTGTTGGATAGTAGAAAGATATTCAGGGGCAATTTATTAGAGACTGAAGTGCTTCTTGGGTCCCGATGATCAACTAGTCACCAGATGTTACACCACATATATGTTCAGAGATGATGTACACTATTTCCTAGATGGGAACTCCCTTTATGATCCTGCCCAGGGTCTCTCAGTCCCACCACCTTCACAATTGCATCTGATGGGGAACATGGGAGAAGGCCTTCTCTGTGGCTGCTCCCAGACTCTGGAACTCCCTCCCAATGGAGGCCAGGCTGGCCCCATCTTGGATGTCCTTCCACAAGCAGGCAAAGACCTTTCTCTTCAGGTAGGTTTTTTCTTAATAACCTGCTGGTTTTTTTTCTCAGAATAGAGCCATTATATGTCTGTTATTTTAAATATGTTTTGGTAGTAATTTACTGTTTTTAGATCTTAATACTGTTTATTTTTTAATACTTAAGCCACTTTGAGTTCTTTTTCGGAGAAAGTTGGGACGTCCATCCATCCATCCATCCATCCATCCATCCATCCATCCATCCATCCATCCATCCATCCATCCATCCATCCAGACAGACAGACAGACAGACAGACAGACAGACAGACAGACAGACAGACAGACAGACAGACAGACAGACAGACAGACAGACAGACAGACAGACAGACAGACAGACAGACAGACAGACAGACAGACAGACAGACAGACAGACAGACAGACAGACAGACAGACAGACAGACAGACAGACAGACAGACAGACAGACAGACAGACAGACAGACAGACAGACAGACAGACAGACAGACAGACAGACAGACAGACAGACAGACAGACAGACAGACAGACAGACAGACAGACAGACAGACAGACAGACAGACAGACAGACAGACAGACAGACAGACAGACAGACAGACAGACAGACAGACAGACAGACAGACAGACAGACAGACAGACAGACAGACAGACAGACAGACAGACAGACAGACAGACAGACAGACAGACAGACAGACAGACAGACAGACAGACAGACAGACAGACAGACAGACAGACAGACAGACAGACAGACAGACAGACAGACAGACAGACAGACAGACAGACAGACAGACAGACAGACAGACAGACAGACAGACAGACAGACAGACAGACAGACAGACAGACAGACAGACAGACAGACAGACAGACAGACAGACAGACAGACAGACAGACAGACAGACAGACAGACAGACAGACAGACAGACAGACAGACAGACAGACAGACAGACAGACAGACAGACAGACAGACAGACAGACAGACAGACAGACAGACAGACAGACAGACAGACAGACAGACAGACAGACATCGACTAACCCATCCATCCATCCATCCATCCATCCATCCATCCATCCATCCATCCATCCATCCATCCATCCATCCATCCATCCATC